GGGGGGGGGGGGGGTTGCTGTTTACTGTGTCATTACGTTTCTTTGGCAGAGCAAGAAAACTGTCTTTTTAACCAGCTCGATCAACTGGATACCAGAAATCTACCTCAGGTGTATACCGTTATCATTCACAAATCTCGAATTTTTCAGGAACAGGTACAGATTGACAGTTATCTTTTAGATACAGGTGCTTTGGGATAACGCAGGGAACAATGCTTTTCCACAAAACACATCGTTCTTTTCCAGTTTTGCCTGGATCTGAGCCATTGACTTGATATATCGAGACTAACGTCATAACAGTTGGGCTGATGTACCGAAACACTCCACACTTTTATTGTCTAATGTTGAGCAGACACGACAAAACACATCTCAAACAACGCCCACAAGATGAACACATCTTGTATAATATAGTTCACATAATAAACACATGGCTAATATCGTGTGGACAACCACAAACCCTTTCTCTAATGTCGCACATTCAGCGGCAAGCACATCCTTAGTGTCGGGGAGACGGCAAACACATTTCTTAAGTCGGACAGACAAGTTTAACGTATCTCAAATGTAACGACAAACACAATATCTTCAATGTCGTGTAGATGACAAAACACATTATATAAGGCGAACCAAAAGAGAAGAAATCTTTAATGCCGTACAGAACCACCCCCCCCTCCCCCAATCCCGTATGTTGAGCAGACGATAAACCACTTCTCTAAGCCGACATGTCTCAAACCAGATCAGGAACCTCCCGACCAAAAGTTGTCGGTCTCTTGGCAAGGCGGAAGTCGAAAGTAGAACACCGGTTTTTATCTTGGCTGTCGGTGAGAATTCTATTTGAATGTGTCCAACAAATGGACACGACACCTACCCACAGAAGACGGCTCAGTTGGAATGTTGCATGCGGCATTTTGTCAGATCGTGTGTTGACTCATCGGACATAGCCCAGGCAAAGTTAAAAAAATAATCTAATTTTAAGTTCTGATGAAACAAAAATCAAATGTGATATTCGTAATCAGCGGCTCTTAATGATCTGTCCACGCCCAAACCACAGGATACAATTCATATTACTATCAATTTTACAATAAAAAAGATCATTCATGGTTTGATATTCCCGCCTTGCGTTCCTTTAAACTGTGACGTGTTCACGATCGTCGGAAATAAAGAGACCAAAATTGCCTCCTGACGAAATAAAACCAAAAAAACAACAGAAACGGTTGTTTTGGGGGACACTCAGCTTTAAGCAGAAGGTGCGATGAAATACAAATCTCTAATGTGCAAACAACGAATAAAGCAAATTTCAATTCATCCAGACAATACACATATCTAATAGCAAGCAGACTACGACCTCCCCCCCAAAAAAAAATAAAGTAAAAAGATAAATTTAGAAACACATCAGATCCAGAGAACAAACAACAAGAGGGGAGTACTCACAGGAAGATGAACAGGATAAACGGGTGACATCTGATCCACACCTTGACTTCAATCCTTTTGGTCGTTTGTTGTCGAGTTTGTGGAGAGAAAAGGGCGAAGTTAAGGGATGGGGATGGGGATGTGTGTGTGTGTGTGTGTGTGTGTGT